AACCATATAATTGGTTTGGGAAGGTAAACCCCACATATCAATATCAAGAAAAGAAGCGAACAAAAAGAACAAAGCGACGATTATAGAGCGATAGCATGTGGTCAAAATTTGGTGGCCTTGCAATTTTTTACGAGAACATCTCGTTCAACCACCTAATTAGGATGTAGAACCGAGATTGTCGCCTTTAAATATCTTTCAATCATGGTGCGAAGATGAAAAATGACAGTAGGGGTTATTTTGCGTTCCGGAGGGAAGAAGTGAATTTCGCAGTAAAACTGCAACTGCTTAGTTGGAGATATTTTTTGGAATTATAACGTATTCAGCACTCTGCCTTTGGTATCATATGAACTGTCACCCAGGATGATCTTATACTGCGACACATTTTAGCTTCAAGTTATGTTAGTGTGTTTGGAAGGACTTTCGAGCTCTAGTTTCGGTAGATGAAATGGAAGTCCGGTGACAAACCACTCAATAACGCATATAATAATAATGAAACTAGTTGTAAGGGTGCTTTGAACAGTCAGTTCGCGATTTCCTAGAGAGTGTATTTATAAACACGGACACTCTTGTCATTATTGTTATTGAATCGTTATAAAAAGAAAACATGAATATTGAAGGTGAAAAAACGAACGGATGGCATGGAACAAAACCGCAATCGCTCATGCGTGGGGCACACGTTTATTGCCATCCACTGATGAATCCTTCTGAATGTTGGAAACATGTACAGACTTACTGCAGGCGCCACGCAGGTTTTAGTGCTAGAACACTGGTTCTTGCAGACTTTGAGCCAGGCACTGCTTTCTGGCCAGCCACTGCCAGCCTCTGCAAAAGAATCAGCCTCTGATCAGTTCAATATAGGATGTTGAAACGAAAATTCGGAGCATAAATATGTAACCACGTCGAACGCAAAATTGTGCAACCAACATTAAGACTACATTGATGTTATTTATTGGAAGGTCCTTAAAAAACGAAAGCTGCGATTCTCTAATGGGTGAGCTTATGACTACAAGCTGTAAGAGAAATACTTCAAAGATGTGGAGAATAATTGTGCGTGTGCTTGTAAGTCATGAATCGGTTCCAATTTTTTTAAGCGACAAACAAGTCATACTGCTTACAATTAGCATGGCAGTCAGTAACGTGTAGATATCACCTTAAATATAAAGCATATAGCAAACGCTGTTGGGTCCTTAAAAGTACTGCGATTCCTTATTCCCTTTCTTTCATCTTAAGAGCAGTTATTGAAGCAGCTCTAAACTTACAGGGCACACCTCAAGCAGAAAGCACGTACAAAACTAGCACTCACATCAGAAGTGAAAACTAACAGGTGTCACATATCGCAACTAAAACGTGCTGTTCAAAGAAAAAAAAGATTCACGAAACGAGTGCACACAAATACACAAAACATGTGCGAACAACTGTCACATTTCTCACTTCGTCATGTGTTAGTAGCGCCATCCTTTCGTAAACCAGGCCACTACAGCGAGAGCGGTGACCTCCGTCTTTTCCCTAATTACGAGTCTGATGAACGCGGGCACAGGAGACACCGCGTTCACGATAGGTGAATCTTATAGAGTGCGGCCAATGAGAGCCCGTAAGGCCATCTCGTTACTGATAAAGAAAACGCGCTATGGTTCCAACGCTCCGAGTACCTGAACGGTATATGGTGCATATGAATAGCTTGCCGTTATCATCCTTGACCACAGTGGCTCTGTGGCATAGTGGTTAGCACCGATAGCGTCGAACCAAGACGTCGCTACATCTACGTCACGTTACAGAATCTTCCTTTATTGTTTTTTTTCGATACCTGTTAGTATCTATTTTGCAATATCATATCCGTGACGAAAATACGTCCGCGCAGCCATGGCCGACCCCGGGATAAAAGAATTTGCTGTAAAAATAACGTTTTGCAGGCGTATATCGGTGCAACGCCAATTGGGGTATCAGTGCTGGTTGTCGTACTTTGTGACAGGCAAGTAACATCGCACAACTACTCCTATGAACATACTCTGAGTTTACGCTAACTACGCTTCTAGAGCTGTCCCCGCTTTTATAGCAGTCTAATAAGCACTACGTTTTTATTCTTCTGATTCAGTGAGCGATAATCAGCGTTGCTCTTCTCTGGTGGAACAAGCTAGGAAGTTTCATGGGATATTTCCATCACTGCACCGTAGAGTGCACTTTGTATACCTGATAAACCCACAACGTCCACAGAACTGCTACACCAACAAAAACAAGTGAAACCACCTCATACCGCTTGATTCAAAGCACCTACCCAGCAAACAATTTCGGCATCGACAATCACTCGCCAATATCTTTCCGTAAAAATTATTCTTTAAGGCATGTAATCTACTGAATTTTTTACAACGCAATCACAAAAACTGCGTGACACTGTGATGGAATACATCGCTGCCACGCAGAATGCATAACTTTGGTACTTAGACCCTGATTTTTTTTCTGGGATTCGTCACATCAATAATGGAGACACCTGTTTTCCTTAACACTCTTGTGTTACAACTGTCGCTTCTCAATGCTCCTGAGTGATATAAACTGTCAATCTCCTCGGCTGCATCCCCACTTACCACGCCCTATATGATATACGTCTATCTGTTGCGCGAAACTAGAGCAAAACCTCTCTTCACATAAACAACAGAATTTTTCATCCAATTTATATAATTACAAAACTTCGTATTTTTCATACCTTCACGCCCTCTTGTGCTAATATAACAAGTCATGAAAGAGACACCTACGCTACCCAGACTAACCAGATATATAAAGAGATAGATAGATAGATAGATAGACAGATAGAGAGATAGATAGATAGAGAGATAGATAGATAGATAGATAGATAGATAGATAGATAGATAGATAGATAGATAGATAGATAGATAGATAGATAGATAGATAGATAGATAGATAGATAGATAGATAGATAGATAGATAGATAGATAGATAGATAGATAGATAGATAGATAGATAGATAGATAGATAGATAGATAGATAGATAGATAGATAGATAGATAGATAGATAGATAGATAGATAGATAGATAGATAGATAGATAGATAGTAGATAGATAGATAGATAGATAGATAGATAGATAGATAGATAGATAGATAGATAGATAGATAGATAGATAGATAGATAGATAGATAGATAGATAGATAGATAGATAGAACCTCCATTGCGTCTTTGGTTCTCCAAGAAATGCTTGGCGTTTAAAACTAAGAAAACACGCAGTGAATTCACTTGTCACATAAAAAGGCGTATTTGGTATTGCTTCGTTCCCAGCAACATTTCATGGTTGTACGCAAATACTAACTATGATTTATTCCAGGACACGTGCAGTCATAAAATCTATTTGAACGACACATGTCAAATAACACACGAAGCCAAGTTTCTGAAACAGCGGTTGATAAATTTCTACCCAGCAAAAGAAATATGTGCTACTAGTCATTCTCTAAAACGGTTGTAGCCGCTTGAAACATTCGTCACATCCTTTTCAGGCCACCTTTATTGGCTGAACTTTCACTGTACTGCTTCAATTAACTGATAGCAAGACACCGGCAGTTAACGTAAACATCTCTTGACAGCTGACATGTAGGTATACTATCGCACATGTGTTCATACTTCCTGTTGAATAAGATATTTAAAGGCTCACTGTACACCTACTTTGATCATCCAAACTGTTTCTCTGTGAGGACGACATTGACGAGTTTGTTCAATTAAGGTAAGTTTTTTGACTTCCATTCCCTTGGTGAAACTTACAGCAGTTGAAATCTTACGGGAAAAATCATTTGCGTCCCCTTAGTCTGTTTGGCGATATATTCTGTACGGAATAAAGCAACATTTTCATGTATGTGATCCTGAAGTTGCTTTATCCAATGTTTTCAGAGATTTCACGTAGATAACGGTGAAGAATCGGGTTAGTATGCTTTACGTTTAACGAACCCGAAGGCACAAATTGATAAACTTCAGGAAATAAATAACCGCCTATATCATGCACTATGTGCTTCAGTGTTCGTACAATAGAATGCCCCCTTCAATACGCCTATATTCATTGCGGACGCTCTGATACTTCGGATAAACAGATTAGCCGTGTTCCATATTATCAGTTATACAGACTATTCTTTTTGTAGTATTCTTCGAGACTATCCAAAGAAAACAAGCATTGTCCATACAACATTATTCTTTAAACTAAAGTCCTAGTCACAACCTGCTTTGTCAGCATGCTAGTAATTTTAAATATTGAGGCTTCCGTGAAGTGAGATGGGATGATATGCACTCTTTCTGATGTGCTTGATGCGTCTACTCAGGCCTGCGCTTCTCTTTTTTTCTGCAGAACCAACGCTACAATACTTTGAAAATGAAGTTTTCCTTGGCACTCTTGATTGTAACCTTGGCAGCAGGTACAAGTAACCATCATCACCTTTATGAAAAAAGTGCTGCACATCGCGCTTCAATATAAGCATGTGGAATCTTTGCAGAATGATGAAGATAGTGGTTTTTCGAAACATTCCTAAATAACCATTAGTTCAAATGACTCAATTATATTTTCACTGAAAAAGGCTACATGGAATCATACTGTGAGGCTTCTATTATATACTGGAATACCAAGAAACATTCAGGGCGAAGAAAGCACAGACAAGTATTATTCCCTGCGAACATGTTAGCGTTTGTCACAATGACAGTAAGGTTGTCTTTAACATGAGAAATATTCCTGGATTGTCTTACAAAGAAGTGGCCCTGTTGATTAGTTGGCCACAAGAAGACAACCGTTAAAGTTGGCAGGAAGGTGGTGTGACATATGTGTCTTATTTTAATTGCCTAATAGAAATTACTTGTTATCAAGTTTGATTCAGCAATTGCATAGAGCTTTAGATAGTTAGGGGGGGGGGGGTAGTTTCACTGATGGTTGCCACAACTTTTTTTGATCATCAAAGTCGCTTGAATTCTGCACTTTGTTGTCGCTTTACCACCGTTCATGTTTCATCTGGGGTACCTGCAGCACTCTTGGCGGCCGTCATTGCTGCCGAAGAGATAACTGTTGGAAGTGGAGGAGGTGGTGAGCATACAATCTTTTTTTTTTCTGCTCATCACGAATGGAGTGTTATGCGTATTTAATTCCTCGTACTTATAGCGAGCACTCCTTATTTGACTTCTATAAACTACCTTCCCTAATGACACAGTCTTTAGTGCTTATAAATAAATTGGTTTACTTTTGATGAGTTGTAAACCTACCTTCGTATTACCAACAGGTTCTTATATTACATATGGGTATTATTATGAATTATTTTTCTAATTCTTCTCGTCAGCCTGAGTGCCACAGCGCCACTATGGCTAGTTCGCAAACTGTGTACAGTGTTTTTAAATAGACTGTCGAATAGTTTTAGAATCTAGAAGTGTCAACCTGTTTATCAGACCGCTGCATCATTATTTACTTCTGAATAACTTAAAATGAGTGACATTCATCACCTTACCTACAACTTTAGTCGTTGCGGTACGTTAGGTCTGAATGATCATTTTATTGCACTGTATTTAAAGCCCTCGAACACTCTATGCACATTTTTTTAGGAACTGGCAGCGGATGCCCGGACACCTCAGCGTGCACCAAAAGCTGCAAGAAACAGGGCTACAGCGTTGGGAATCTGCCTTGAGCCTCTGCTTACAGTTTGTGCGTGCTTGTAATATTGAGCCAATTCGATAATTAAGTGGCAATAAAGTTTACCACGTTTATCATGCACTGAGGTCTTGCTAAATGCTCGTCATTTTTTTGTTCAGCACACTAGTAGGTATTTGCACAATTTATCTACCCTTGTCACCCGCTTAGGTTTTTCAGGGGTGGCTAAGTTTATTGAAACCACCTAAATTACTTGCTCTGGGCATTTCGACCAGTGCGTAGAGTTACACAAGAGGGTTTGCAGCCGCAGGGTTTCTCCTGATCAATCTCACTCCTTAACTATACGAGAGGCAGCCCAGTTTGTTTTCACTGACTCCTAGCCTGTGCTCGTACCGTTTATGACGACTTGCAAGGTCCTCAACAACGACAGGCCTTTCACCTGCGTGGTGTGTAATGGCTTTCCGGGTAATGCCCTCGTTTTGTGGGGTTGTTCGATTGGTATTGCATTGTTCGACATGAGCTTCGGACACATACTTACCAGCGAAAGAGCAGTTATCCTAGAGGGCTAACTAGCGGACCATGACCTATCATTCTTATCTTGATGGTACTAATTTAACATGTTAATTTTCTTAGCCAGGTGATGGGTAGTCCTTCCGTCTTAGGAGGGCAATGAGTGGGGTTTGTTCTATTTTAGTGTAACTAGATACAAAGTTATAATGGGTTATTTAGAAAAATTCTGACACTGTCATTAGTTTTCTTCAAATAGAATTTGAGGTAACAGTATCGTGTTGACAGACGTTCAGAAAACACTTGATGTTTGGCACAGTGGCATAGAAATGACTGTGTTTTGTACAATAAAACATCGAATACGCTATTTTATCCATCAAACAGACACCTTATCATACGCACCTTGCGAGATATATTGCAATACTGGTGCACAACACCCAAATACTATTCAAGATAGTATCAAAGGTTCATGAGCGCCGGATACTGCTCAGCATACACTGGGGCCCAGAATTGTCAGCGCTTCGAATCTCTTTGTGAAAGCAACTCTATTCGAATTCACAAAACAGCAAGAAGCGCACATTCTGTGCAATGAAATTCATACAAATGATCCAGTGGCCGCTAAAAAAGCATGAAGAGTATTGTGCGGAACAGACCTATTTCTACATGTTTTGATGATCTGGATTCGCCCAAAAGAGCCTTTACCAGAGCACTGCGCATGCCGTACCACTTTAGGTCGAACATTTTTCATTATTAATGGACTGTGCTGACAAGACTGCACGAGTTACACGAGTATCCTGCAGTTTAGGATGTGGATAATGTAACCCGCAAAAGTTACAAAGGGTGAAAATTCTTACAACTTTTATAAAAGACGACCCATTTCTTTATCGATTATCAGCGATGACCGATGGTTGCGCACTCCGCCATTGATGTACCACACATAATAGTTTTATCCTGAGTTCTTTTGTTTGCTTGAAAAAGTTAGGACAATGTTTTGTAGCTACTATCGAGAGTGCAGCCTTCTTTGCAGTCATAACAATAGACATCTGGTAGAAAAAAGAGAATTCTGGTAGAAAAGCCGCTTTGTACATGAGTTTAGAAGTCCCCGCGTAAATCCTGTTACTTCTGCAAAGTCATGACGAAGAAGACGCTAAGGAACATTAAGCATTCTAGCTACAAGGAACAATATACCTATTTCGAAACTACGGAATAATGCCTGACCACGTAAAGATCAAGACAAGGACAGAACAGCAAGGCGATGGTCACTGCGCTTCCTACCGCAGTCGCTTTCGTTCAGGGAGCCATAGACTTTACGCACACCACCATGTTAACATGTGGAAGCCTGGTTCAGGGAATACGACTGGTTAGCCCTAAGCCAATTATGGGACTACAATGGAAAGCTTCACTGCGTATGTTTTGCTCTTTATTGTGCCGTCAGGACGTCTTGCTGAACACAGAAACCACTCCGATAAATTAGGATCTCTTTTCACACAGCACTACTAGCTTAGTTCGTATATATTGCAGAAAGCCTTTTGAGATATGTGCACAACTGTAGAACTGGAAGTTAGGGACGTCCACCAATGAAGTGGCCTATGCTAAACCAGCTATACTTGGGGAAAAGATTATTCCACGCTGATGAATACACTTAAGCACCAACGTGTTCAGGAACATGCGCCGCGCCTTACCAGGATTGTCAATGAGCTTGGTGCAGTGATCCCGGCCATAAATATTGACCGATAAATACGACGCTGCCTAATACAAGTTTTGAACGCAGTCTCCTTTTGGGGCAGCACCAAATGTGTTGAAAGTGTCTGCTTTCCGCAATATATCGACTACGCCTTTAATCATTGTCTTTGTATTGTAGAACAGCACCGAATGTGTCATTACAAATCTCTCTCAGAAAAAGCGATGTACGGACTAAGCATCTGAAAACTATTTTGGTTTGTTGAAAGCGGATGAAACCTATGACAATGAAGAAATTTAGCTCAGCACCTTGCAGTTTGGTGGTAATATAAAAGACACAATTCTTGCGCAATGAGGAAGGCCTGCTTACTGTTAGTTTACTCTTCTTCTACCGTATCATACAGGGCTTAACATGAACCCTTGGTGGACAAGACACCTGTATAGGGCTGATGCTCACCCCGCTATTCTTGAGGAACAGATGATTCCACATTTATGCATACACTGAAGCACCACAGTGTTCAGGAAGCTGCGCAGCATTCCACTAATAGGTTTCGAACACTAGCGTGACTGCTTGGCACAATACTCTGTAGTAGAACTGAAAGGTGGAGGAGTGGGAACTTATTCTTCGTTGCGTAGAAAAAAAGTCGCTCTGGACGTTAAGCTTTCTGCAGCGACTGCAGGAGCGAGACGGTCCGTGTTGTTATACGAGATGAACTGCGTAGACTGTTTTCTGAATAGCATCACGTGCAAGCTGACATTCACATTGTCCGCGTGGTAGTTCGCGATACTCATGACTTGGCCGAACCACGTCATCATCAGCTCGAGACAATGACCTACACCAGTGCAATCTCTTTTATATGTGAATAATAGAAAGTTTCTGCGTTAGAAGGTGACTAGAGTTTGCTCTAATGTAAGCTCGAAAACTTGTGTCACGTGCGGAATCTGGTCAGAATGGTCTAAAAGAATCAAGCTTGCAACTTTGAACTTCCAGAAGGTCCCCCTGCACTGCGGCGCGGGACGCGTCATACATCGAGCGCAGGATATGTAGGTTGGCGTAACAGAGGCAAAACGACTCATAGCATACCAGCTTTAGTGCGGAGAACTCTTTATCGTCTTGTTCTTCAAGCGCCTTAATAATGATATTGTCACGGATGGGTGACAGCAGCCAAAAGACAGAAGACTGGAAAGCTTGTATAAATGAACGGGAACATGTTTATTTGGCAAACTTGCGCCACTAAGAGAAACTGTACACCTCTGCGTCGGGGGCAGCCAACAAGTGCTGGGCGGCCGTCGAAGGTAGGGAAAAAAAGACATCGTCGACCATTCCAGATACGCCCACCGATGCGTTTGCATACGCTGGACAGTGGTCATGCCGGATAAATCGCTCCACGTCGCGTATCACAAAGAGATAAGGCTGTAGGCTGACATGCACCGATTGAGATGAAAATGCTTGTTGGTGATATTAGGTGCGGATATGCGCTCTCGTATTTTGTCTTCTCATGGCTTAATGCTCACAATACCTTCAATTAAAACAAAAAAGACAGAAGTAAGCGAGCAATACAGACGAGAGAAAAAGAAACAAAAAAAACAAACCAGGAACTAAGAAGGTGTCCCAGCTCCACACTTCTTAAACTCAGGCCTATTAGTGCAAGTGTCTTTTTTGTGAGTGAAGTTGGATCATGCGAAAATAAAGAAACAAGTTTACGTGATAACAAATTATATTTGCGATATCGGGATCCGTTGATACGCTTACTGTAAATCGATACCCAGATTATGCCTATTCTATGATTGATTGATATGTGGGGTTTGACGTCCCAAAACTACCATATGATTATGAGAGACGCCATAGTGGAGGGCTCTGGAAATTTTGACCACCTGGGGTTCTTCAACGTGCACCCAAATCTGAGCACACGGGCATACAACGTTTTCGCCTCCAACGGAAATGCTGCCGCCGAAGCAGGGATTTGATCCCACGACCTGCGGGTCAGCAGCCGAGACCCTTAGCCACTAGACCACCACGACGGGGCTGCCTGTTCTCCTATGCTCCAGGGCATTTTCCGTTGCTTTGCACGTGTAAGCAACACCTCCAGAAGGCTTGTTGGCGAGGAAAGGAAGCTCTGTATTTTGAAACTCTTTTATAAAAGGGGCCTTTAATCAAAGGAGTTTCCCGCAGCTGTGTGGTTCTGTGGCGGAGTACAAAACGTTCAAAGCATATTTTTAAATGCTGCTAAATCCTGCTTGTGGGCAATGAATCACTTTATTTTATCTTTATATAGAGCGCTTCTGTTACATTTAGAAGAAAGCCATAAGTATGAGTCGATAGCATATAATGATAACACCCTGAAAATTCTCAAAACACGCACGAACTACGCACGAAAAATGCCACAGACACAAAATTTCAAACGTGGTAAAAGCCATGATAAAAAAACAGTTCATGTCGTGAAATACCATATCACAAGTATGTATGCGTACAGCCATGATGCAAAAAGAAGCTAAATAACTGTGCCAATGTGATGGTGCTGTGAAGAACTTTGATGTAAGCCGATATTTACGTGTTCAAATCAGTCGCTGTGGTGGTTTCATAGGAGCTTTCACTGAAAAAGTAATAAAAAATAAAAACTATAAGGTTGAAGGATTACATTGTTTTTAAAAACTGGAGCTATTACCAAGGCTTAGAAAAAACTAAATTTCATTCCACTGCCTCAATGTGACGTGTATACTATGATATGAGCTTCTCAGATGATATGGCGTTCTGACCGGTACAGATATTTTTTCTGTTGATTTAGTATCACTACAACCACAAGAACACAAAAATTATGTATGCTTAACTCGCCGTCAGTATACGAAAAAAATCACACCGAGCCACGTATATCGGACACCAAGTTCTATTGGTTGTAAATTTATATATGGTGAGTTTACAGTGACGTTTCGACCAAGCCTTAGCTTTAAATT